TATTACCTTCAAAAGCTGCAGCTGGTCATATGTCAGGTCTTTGACTGGCACCTCAATGAGTTCCAGGTTCTTGTCATTTTTCTGTTGAGTGTGAGACAAAATATTAGCACGACATGGGACTCGTGCTCATTTTAGAAAAACTGATCATGCAGTGCTACTATGAATTTCTCTCATTAGCTCTGAGGAGCCAGTTACAATCATAGTTTACCTTCTTAGTGGATATGCAGCAAGTCAGGTCATGGTATACAATAGGAACAGCATCCTTGGAGAGGTGAACATCGAACTCCACAAAGGCTACGCCCTGTGAATACAGGAAGAAAACAAATTTAGTAGATGCAATAGCAGGGCAGTAGTACTGACTCATGCAATAATCTTCTTGGTGACTTACATGCTTAGCAGCACTTTTAAACGAGGCTATTGTGTTTTCTCTGATTCTGTGGTGCCTGTTAAACACAAAATATCCACAAGATCACATAAAATATTCCATGATGGATGTCAATGGTTATATCATCATGTCAAAATGTGTGATGAACCATATTTGAAAACAATCTGAATATTATCTGAAGACAAACACAAAGCAGCAAATGTTTAATTTTAAGTCGGGTAGTAGGGAAAGATCATCACTCACTTGGCTGCATGGGTGCTGCCTGCTCCCCTGTGACCCACATCCAAAGTACCTCTCTTTTTCCAGTACTTGGTGTATGAAGAGCTCATGTCACACTGCAGTCCCTGGATGGGTCGGATTACCAGGTAATCCACTAAAATGAATTAATAAGTTAACATCTTTGTACATTCACAGTATGCATAAATTCTGGCAAACATGTAAAAGGAAGCTCAAGCTGGTCATAAATGTATGTAGATTTTGTATCTCATTTTGTCATAAATAAATATTTGAGGGGGGGGGGGAAGGAGGAAAACTTACCTCTTACTTTTCCAATGGTCTGCCTGAAATTTCGTCCCATTATGGGAAGAGTGACTACTCCAATATCATTGCCACTCTCCAAAAATGAAGAAGAGAGGAGGCAGGCAGTGCCCACATGTCCTGGATGGATGTCCCCCTGGACTACATGCTCACTCAGATCCTCCTGTTAACAAAGACACTGGATTACTACAACACAACTCAATTTACCTAAATAAACACCAGCTGTGCTGCTTTCCCTTCCTTTCACCATCAATTACCAGATGTACAAAATTATTAGGGACAGTGATCCCAGGAGGATTACCTCAAAGAACTCAAATGTGAGCTCAAGGTTATCTGGGTCCATGGTGTGAATACTGTACTCAGTCCACTGGGAAAGCTCCAGAGCATAGCCACACTCAGGCTGCGAGTGGCGTGACTTATAGCCATTGGCACTAATCATACTGATTTCCAGAGTGGTGGTCATCTTGTGCCAAGATGAAGGACTGAGCTCGTTTTCTTCCTCATCGTCTTCCTCTTCCTCAAAGCCCTCTAATGTCAACTTGATCCTGCATAAACAGGTACAACAGTTCAGATAAAACCACATTCAAACACACTGTAAAGACACTTTGCATCAAATGATAAAGCTTATAATTTCAGCTGTCGTTTATAGATACTTATGCAGGACTTCTTGAACTCAGGTGAAAGATCGATCAGGTAACGCCTGCACATTAACGATCTGTGCCCTGTTACTTTCTCTAGCTGGTTTTAAATTTAGCCTCTGTGAAATCAATACCTGAAGCGAGACTTCTTGAATTTCTTCTTAGTGATGGACACTGGAGCCTT